CAGAAGATCAAAAAGAGTATTTTATCTGTTGACACAGGTCTCCTTCCTGGAGGACTTTGTAACTGTGCCTTGATATGCCCACCCCCGCTGCAGCTTTGGCATTGAAGTTCCCCTGCGTGGTGTGCTTGAAAGGAGCTCCATCCTGCCTCTGTCCTGGAGGCTGGACCCTGAGTGTTTGGTCAATAAGCAACAGTGGGTGGTCGGCAAGGACCCGCTGTGCGCAGGGAAGTGTGTTCAAAGGTGTCGCAGGGCTGCCAGGAAGTCAGCCGCCCTTTGGAGGGTCCGGGGCAGTAGATCAGTGTCCCCTGCTAGCTGGACTGTGAGAAACTCACTGCACCTGGACAGACAGACGGGTTAGAGACTTTAACTTGGGGAAGCTGCTCACCTGGCCCCACATCTGCAGGCGCTGAACGATCTGTGCCCTGGTATTGGTGGAGCCTGTTAAGCAGATACTGACCAGTATTTGCATTGGAAATGGCAAAAACCATGCCCAGCTTGAGTTGAAAGGATTTGACTGATACATGATAAGGCTTCCTAGAAATTTAGGTACAACAAGTGCTTCTCTATAAAGACTTCTGAAGTCTTCCTTAGTTTTTAAGCTGATTATTATAGGATTCAGATTTTTAACATAAATCCTTAAGTTCATGAACTTTGCCAGAGATCTTTTTAGATCTCTGTAGTTAGTGAAAGTAGCAGAAATTTCACAGATAGAAAGAACAGCCCAGGGTTTATCTTGTTCATAGCTAATTATGAAAGGTAGGGAGGTGACTGGGATTGTTTCATCAGTGTTCTGAAGAAAATAACTTACGCAGCTTCAGAAAACAAAATTTTAGGGCCAGGGATTTAGCTCAATGGCACAAGTTTGAGTTCAATGCCCAGTACCAAAAAAAAAAGGTTTTTTCCAACTGTTTATCTCTTATTAAAACAGAAGTTCTATTCTGTGTTTATATAGTATTCCAAAATTAATTTCCTAATTTTATGTACAGGTATAATTTGCAAAATCAATTAGAAAGATAGTTCATTTCAAGAATTTGCTAGCATGTTGTAGAAACTTTAACAGCAGAAATAAAATGTTGATTCAACTGTCAAGAATTAAAGAGTAGATTTGTGGTGTGTGTGCATATGTAGAAGATTTGTTGTTTCATCTTTTGGTAAAGAAGAGATATCTTTTGTATTGATAAAATTATAATTCGAACACTTTGTAGAAGTTAAGATCTAGCTAGACCCTAAGCGTATTTACACCTACAGTTTTGTTGGTACTGCTTCTTTTGTAAATATTGTTTAGAATTTTAGAACTAGAAATACTGTAGTAATGACTTTTAATGCCATTGGGTATGTACCTGTTGAAGATTGGTCTTTAGAGTAGTATTTACCCCACGTTTCCTCAGGTAACTGACAGATTACAGTGAAACAGTTTTGATCTTATAACTCAGTGATGGGGACGCTCCTAGAGATAAACCCAAAATCCAACCCAAAACTCACTTATTTATCACAAAGTGCCGTCCCTGCAATGAAACCTGAAGACTGAGGTTTCATTTTAGAAAAAATAACTCATATATTAACATCTTTTGTTTAAAAACAAGTTACACTCCTGTCCTAGGTTTGCTGCCATTGCTTATGAGCGTTTATTTATTTAGTGTATTATTGGTGTCTGAGGTCTTTAAGGTAGCCAAGCTGTGATGTCCGTACCGATATCTAAAATGCTAATTTGCCATCTTTCCTGAGTCTGTGACCTCGTTTCCCGTGAGCCCTCTGTGTCAGGCTGTCTGTGTGCTGAGGAGAAGCTGCCCGTCAGTGTCCCCAGCTGAAGGACAGCAGCCAGAATGCGCAGGACTGTCTTTGTTCCCAGCAGGCTGGTTTAAGACTTCAGGTGTAAAGTTTGGATCACAGAATCAGAAGTTCCCAGCTGTGAAAGATTCTGCCAGTCCTGTAGCTCATGGTATTCACTTCTGCAGGACTGTTTTGAAGCAGGGCCCTATGACTCGCTGCTCTGGACCCCACACCAGCTGCGCAACCCAGGCCCCTTCTCAGAACTCCTTGACCTCACTTCTAGCATTGGGAGCAGTTTGTTGGGTTTGGTGGGAAAGAGAGCATAAAGTTACAGTGTTTTCATCATGGCTAAAAATAATTTCCTATTGACCAAAGCTTTTAAAACTTTTTCGTGTGCTGCAGTGTACTTGTCTAGCTTGTGGGATACCCTGGGTCTGATTCTCAGCATGGCAAGAAAAAATAAATAAGTATATAATTCCACCCAGGGGAAAAACTCACAGGAAGAACTTGTTTCTGGAGAAAATTTGCTGCTAAGGAAAAGGAAGACCTGTTGGGACTGCTGTTCACTCAGGAGTAGTTTGAAAAGGATAAGTGTGGCTTTGCGACAGGCTTGTTGTGTCATCTGCAAAGGTTCTGCCGAAGCGAGCACCGTGACATCTTGGGGACAGCTGGGCACCATCCCCGGCTGGCGGCCAAGCACAGCCTCAGCCTCGCAGGGCTCCAGGGGATATGACAAGAGCACTGGGCTGCGGGCCCCAGCAGGAGTGCCTGCCATCTTGCTGTCCTCGTTGTGGCCACACGCCTTGTGAACTGTGTGTGTTTCTTGTAAGCACATCGTGTGCGTTGCTGTCATATGGTAAATAATCGTGAGAAAATAGACCGATTCCTTGTGAAAATTTTTAAAGACTTTGCTGATTTTACGTTACACGGAAGTCATATATTTTTAGCTTGTTCTTTTATAGTAATGCTCACTTACTATCAAAATAGTTTCTCCTATTTTTAAGAATTTTGTGGAGAAAAGTACCCAGCCAGTAGTCAAAGTTTAAAAAGCTCATCAGAATCCTTAAGGGTTGGTTTTTTTCTATGACAAGTAATATTTCAATGTTCGAATCAGTTTTCTCTTCGAAGCATATTTCTCCCAATTTTATAGCGTAGCATATGGTAGGACTTGGCTTTTTCACTCTTGGACGGAAGAGGCACAGAGTGCTGGGAGGGTCGTGCCCATCCCGCCTGGGTCAGCACCAACCCTGTGTGCGGGCTGGGGCGTCAGTGCCATGCTCCGCTCAGGGTGCTGGTGCCGTGTGGCTTACAGTGTCCAGGTGCCCAGCTGTCCTGGGGTGAGTGGGGTGTGGGGCACGGTCCTCAGCAGCTGCTGTGCTGCCCAGCGGAGATCGGCTCACGCGGGACTTACTTCCCTGTCATTGATATGTGGTTTCCAACAGGACAGAAATATGTGCTCAACCCAGGTATGTTACGCAAGAAAAGAAGAATAACGACCGAAAACATAAGATTTAATCTGGGGATGTGCTGTTACACCATTTAAAGTGGTCAGAATACCAGCGCTGGGGAAGAAATGGTTTTTGAGGATCCACTCCAGCAATGACAATTGAATAGTGTCTGTGGAGTGTGTGTGGTGTTTTTCCTGCAAACAGATTTCTCTTCTTAATCATAAATTTATAGTCCTGGTCTTGCAAGAGTAACTTGCAACTTTGTAAGTTAAAGCATTCTCTTCTTGTGCTTTTTAATGTATATTTTTATGTTATACATTTTAATGCATCTTTTATTATGATGTGAAATTTGAGCCCCTTTATTTTATTTCTTATTGAGATATCATGTCAGACTTTGTATTTAATATGGGAAAAATTAATTGCAAAAGGGTTTGTCTCTCACTGTTTGTATTATTTCATACTGTGCTGCATGGCATTATTGTTGTTTTTAGTGTCAGAGTCATAGAAGTCTTACTTTCAATGTAGTATTCTCTAAAGTATGAGTGCGTGTTCAGCATTCAGCCTGGCCATCAGAATGCCGTCTCCCCGGAACCATGCCCCACTGAAATCTCTGATGACCTTCATTTCTGCTTTCCTGACCTCACAGGGAGCAATGAGCAGGCGCCGTCCCACAGAGTCGGGGCTGCTGCTCCGGGAGGGGCACACGTGCCTGCAGTGTGGAGGAGGGAGGGCTTCAGCCAAGGCGGGAATTAGGGGGTTTTCTTGGGAGTCAGAGGAGGGAGAGTAGCTCCTGGATTGCCAGGCGGGATCCCCAGGGGGCAGCCTCGGAGGCCTGTGTCAGGAATAGTGTGTGTAGCGGAGTCACAGTGTTGGTGCAGCACAGGAGAGGTGACAGTCAGCATTGGCTCAGCCGCTGTCTGTCCAGCAGCGGCACCCGGCAAGATCAGAGGGTGAAAGGATGTGCTTAATACATACTTATTAATCCAGGAGGAGATTTCTAGACATGCACACTCTGGTCTTGGGAATGCTGACAGGGTGAGGTGAGAAGGATCCAGGCAGGCCAGGCAGAGGGCATCAGCAACAGAGATGGAGAAAGAACTTCCCCTGCCTAAAGAAAGAACCATGCAATTTGGGAACCTAATGTGAATTGTGGCATTGAGGGGAGGTGACAGAGATTGCTGCTGGTGCAAACTTGCGAGTCTGCTCCAAGAAAAGAAACAGCCAGCTGTGGTTTGCATGTCTGTAATCACCTCAGCATTCTAGGAGGCTGAAGCAGGAGGGTTGCAAGTGCAAGGCCAGTCCAGGCAACCTAGCAGCTTAGAGAGACCCCGTCTCCAAATAAAACATGACGAGGGCTAGGGGTGTAACTCAGTGTGAAGGCCTGGAATTCACTCCTCAGTACTAGAAAAGGGGAAGGAAGAGGACGGGGGAAGATACGGGAGCACGATAGAGGGAGAGCGCGATCTCAAACATCCATGATTCCCAAGTTCCAGGAGTTGTTTTGCAAAACGTGGTTTCTCCCAATTTTCATTGCAGCAAATCTGCCCCTGTTTTTGCTGCACATGTCCTGAATCCCTGCCAGGTCCCCACAGGCTTTGTTAGAACTCTCTATGGACTCAGAGCCAGGTGTTGCATTGTCCCAGTGTGCCACCGCAATGGAAGGTCTTCAGAGAAGATCCCTTCCGTTCCTCTTATTAGATGCCTTATCTAAAAGAGCAGAGGGATTGCACACGAAACAGCCTCCCGAAACTCAGAGTGATGGGAGCCCTGCCTCTCTTCCAGGAAACCCCAGCCTGCACAGCCCCATGCTGGACCTGGAGAGTGACCCTCGCTCCTCCGTGCTGGGCCACCTCAGCCAGACGGCGTCTCTGAAGAGGGGCGGCAGCTTTCACTCTGGCCGTGAGGACGGTGAGTACCTACCGCTGCCCCCAAGTGCGCACTGCCCCCCAAGTGCGCACTGCCGAGCCTTGTACTCTGAGCCTTTTAGGAAGCCGACTCTCAGCTATTGCCCTCTCTTGTGCTTGCTAACTACCCAGCAGTTAAACTTCACTGAAGTCCTGTTACCTTTTACATTAAAAAAATACCCTTTGATGAGCTTTAACACTGGCTTGAAAAGAAGGCTCAGTCATTATTAACCACAAAAATAACTGCTAGTCATATTTCCTTAGATACAATGGCTCAAACTGTGACTGTGTTGCGTTTCTTAAATTGCTGCAGTGAGTGTTTGTTATCTCCTTACCTGTGTGTGAGCTAAAAATGTATTGCTTGTAATTCAGTCACCTACCTAGTCAGAGGCCATCGATCATTGGCTCTTTACGATCTTGTACCACTTATAGGAAATCCAAGCAGAGTAATATAAATAGCTTTCCTTGTATTTAAAGTTTAAAGTCATGCAAGTATTGGGGGGCTTTTCCTGTCTCATTAATGAATATGACCATCCACTGTGAGAGCATCTCCACCATCATGCACTCACACTGAAAACATCGAGCCCTCCTGTCACTGTGGTGACGGTGGCAGGCACAGCCTGCTGTGTCACTCCATCTCAGCCCATGGAGCGTCCCTGTGACCACCGGTGGCAGAAGAGAGCCCTGTGCCTCTTTGCGCTTGGTGCTGAGTCCAGTGTGGAGGGTCTCAGGCTCTGGGGAGCAGCTTCTCTGTATTTTAAAACACATTACCTTCCCCTGGATAGTAGGACATCTACCCACCTCCGAAAGTAGTTGTAACAAAATGCCGAGATCCATCAGAAACTACCATTAAGGCTGCTGGCAATAATGTACATCATTTTGAACAGTTCTAGTTTATCCTGTGAATTGCCAAGCATCTTGGATCTCTTTATCAAATTTTGGAAGCATTTATTAAATTTGTGAAAATTTCATCCCTTATTTTCTCAAATATTTTTCTGTTCCACTGCTTGTCTGGGGCTGCTGTTCCGTATGTGTCAGCCCAGTGGGTCATTCTGTTTAGGTCTTAGTTATTTTTCTCATTGCTGAGGCAAAACATCTGATACCCAAAATTAAAAGGAGAACAGGTTTACTTAGCTCGCAGTTTCAATCCATAGTCAGCTGACTCCGAGGCAGGGTAGCTCATGGCAGAAGGGAACAGTTTATGGTGGTGAAAGACAGCGGAAGTAAAGAGAGAAGCAAGCCTCTTCCTGACCCTTTTTGGTTGCAGGCTCCCCGTCCTCGGGCAGGTGTAGCACTCCCACCCTTAATCCCTGCATTGGACCATGAATCAGTCGCAAACCTTAGATTAAGCTGCCTCGAGAAGCCTTCCCCCATGGGCTGCATGAGGCTTTGGGGGACATCCTGACACAAACCGTAACAGTGTATTTCTAAGACTTCCTTCTTCCTTTTCCCCTCCCGCTTTTTTCACTCATGCCTCATTGTTGGTGCAGTCAAATGCTACACCTTCAGTTTTTCTGATCTTTATTCGTATGTAAGCTAAACTTGTCAGGTACTGTTTGCTTGGGTTTTTATTTGCTTCAGTGCTGGGGATTGAACTAAGCACGCACCCCCCATCCCTGAGCTAGACCTCAGCTGTGTCTCGTGCTCCAGTGCTGTCAGTGAGTGCTGATCCTGTCACTGGCGCTGTTTCCGTGGCTGTGGCCTGAGTCACAGGCAGGTTTCTGCTGTGGTTACACTTCCTTGCTTTTGGGCACATGTGATCATTAGTGTTTCTCACACACTGTGAGTGTTCAGTGCTGAGCACCTGGGTTTTGCTGTCTTCCTTTAAAGAGTGCTAGCTTTGTTTCAGCAAGCAGGTGGTTTAGGAGAGCTGTGCTCAGCTTTGTTAGAGCAGGATCGAGAAAGGCTGTGTTCTGGTAACCTTGCATGTGTCAAGGCGTGGTCCTTGGGTCTCTAACGAGTGGCCTAGATCCTCAACAAAGATCTGCTCCCTGCAAGCTGTGTGACCTGTGGGAATCTCCGAGCTTACAGCTTCCGGATGGCCTTGGCCTGGCGTGGCTGTGTTACTCCACATATGCACAGTGTTGTCCTTCTCAGAGATTCTCAGAGGCCGCTGTGCAGAGTGCTGGAGCGTTTTTCTGTCTCCGTAGCATCTTCTTTTCCTGAACTCCTGACTCTGCGCGTCCCGGCGTCCAGCCTCTCCCTACTTCCATCTCCATCTTTCCAGCTCAGAAAGGGCCCTCGGCTCAATATCGGTCCCTTCTCCTCTTCCTCTGACGTCCAGGCTCTGCAGGCAGAAAGCTTGGGTGGTTGCTGGCCCTTTCCTCTGGTCACAGATTGTGCTGTCTGCTGCCAGTGCTGAAGATGCTTATGGCATAAGGGTTCTTTTGTTCTGTTTCCCCTCCAGTTTCTAGTCCTCTGTGCCTGGTGGTTAAGTCTTCTGCATGTTATGCCAGCAGGGCAAGAAGTAGAAGCCAGATCAGTTGTAGTCTCCCCAAAGTCATTGCTTGATTGGAATGTTGTGAAGGATTGATCCAGTGAGCCCCAGCTGTGCACAAAGCTGAGTGGGCTCACTCTCAACTTTGTGATCAAAGCAGAATCCATGGGTGAACATAGTTGGTGACATTTTCCTCGGGATAGGAAGACATTTCTTCCATGTCCTCTTGGTTCCATTATTCTGAGGAAGTTACTCTGAATGCTGTTCTATCAGTGATACATCACGTGGCCTTTAACTAGGATGGATTTGTTCAGTGAGAAACAAATCCAAATTTATTAATTGTAATGATTCAGATTGGAGTAGTAGGCTTAGGAGCAGTGGGGGAGACGCCGTTGCATGGTTTGTACATTAAAAAGGATTTGCAGGTAATAAAGAAAATCAAATCTAACAGGTATAAGAAGGGTGGCCCACAGGAACCCTGCTGTTTTCCAAAACTTCGATGTTGAACACCAGCATGTTAAATGCTCACAGTGCTTCCAGCAGTGTATGATTCTCTGGCAGCGCTAACTTAACATTCCCGCTGTGGTGAAACCCTAGGAAATAACCACAACAGGTTTCAGCTGAAGAGACCTTTGGGAATTGATTTATTGTGTTGTCATTTATAATTATTTAAATGATTTCTCTGTCATATGATTATTTCATTTAAATGCTTATTAGTGGAGTTAACAAGAAAGAAGCTTATTTTACTTTCTGATTATTTTATGGTTTTTAAAAATGAAAATTTTTAAGTTTGTGAAAAAACAGTATTTCTTCCCCATTTCTCGGAGGTGGCTACAGAATGATCTTCATGAAATGTACCTTGTGAGACCTATTTGTCATTGATGTGCATATAGAATGTGTAGAATATATGGGGGTGGGCGAATGTATGTGCAGGGATTAAATATACATGGGAATATGTGCACAGGTAGAGTGTGTGTGTACAGTATAGCATACATAGGTGGGAGGAGTGTACATGCACAGGTAGAGTGTGTGTGCACAGTATAGTGTACATGGGTGGGAGGAATGTACATGCACAGGTAGAGTGTGTGTGCACAGTATAGTGTACAAGGGTGGGAGGAGTGTACATGCACAGGTAGAGTGTGTGTGCACAGTATAGTGTACAGGGGTGGGAGGAGTGTACATGCACAGGTAGAGTGTGATACCTTTCTTTTTGAACTCAGTTCTTTCCATGATGCTAGTTGCAAATCTAGTTGGATAAAAATAAAATCAAATTTAGCCATTGGATTCAGTGTTGTTGTTTCAAAGAAATTTGATTTAGTTCTCATTGAATTTAGTTTGTGACCAGAAGAAGCATGGAGAGAATTGAGTTTGTGAGCTGAGCTCCCACTGTATATGTGTGGGAAGCGTGTCTACATAGGTGGATGGGAAGAGTATATACACACGGGAGTGTATTTGCGTAGATAGAGGGTAAAGCCTGAGGAGAACGTACACATATACATTTATAGGCAATGAGCCAGGCCACAAGAACTTAGGTTTTTATTTTTGATTCAAAAATGTATTCTTAATGATTTATTCTTTGCTCCCTTAGCATGGAGATACAAAACTCCCCACAGGGTGGCATTTGTTGAAAAATTGACCAAGCTTGTTTTAAGCCAGCTGCCGAATTTCTGGAAACTCTGGATTTCCTATGTCAATGGAAGCCTTTTCAGCGAGGTATGTGTACACACGTTTAACTAGGTGGAGCCACATACTGCCTTTCTGGTCCTAAAAATCTTAGATTTTAAGTTGATTTTTAAAACCTCAGGCCTAGCCCCTCTCACCATTTTCGTGTGTGTGAAGATGAGTTTAAGGCACATGAATCCCTCATTCCTAGTAGCTATATGATGCTGAGCAAGTGTCCTTGTTCAGTGTCCTCTCCTGTGGAAAGTAAGCAGCGTAAGGGTGTTTGCTCCAGAGGTGCCCAGAAGCCATGCATCAGGCCAGCACTAAAGAGAGGGAGAGTGAAGCACTGTCAGGGGTTCAGCAGCAAGCACAGTGCAGTTGGGCCAAATCGCAAATGAAATTTTCCTTCAGGAGACTATGAATACATGATGAAGTAAGAGAAGATCGCAGAGAGCGTTTGCCCAGGTCGGAAGTCTCCGTGGAGACGTGGAATTCCTTAGTGGGCCATGAAATCCAGCGCACTGTCTCGGCCTCCAGAGGCCTTTGCGTTTTCATGAGCTGCACACAAACTCTGTGCGTTCCCTGTGGTGCACACGTCCCTGGCGTGTTCTGCTTTATAGGGGCATCCAAGCACTCCACATCCAGTGGAAGGCCTGAGGGAGCTACCTGGTCCCAGGCTGGCAGGGTGATGGCAAGGTGATGGCAGGGTGGTGGTTGCAGGGTACCACGGTGCTGCAGGATGCGGCCCACAGGCCCTGTGTGCCCCCACGTCCTCCTCTCAGGGCGTAGAGCTGCCCTGCTGGTCAGGGAGCATCAGTCATCAGTGGTGTACAGCTGTAAGGGGTTGGTTTGCATGCATCCCGCACGGAGACAGACGCGCCTCTCTGGTCTCCCATTGCGCACTCCGTAGTCTCCGAGCCCCTCCCTCTGCTGCTCCTGGTCCCACTCGAAGGATGGAGAAGACGCCGCTGTCCCTTGTCTGCTTGCCCAGGGAAGGTGGGGATCTTCCTGATGACAGAGACGACTTCCTGCTCCTTGTGGCCCTGGCAGCGCCGGTAGTGGACACTGACTGAGACTGGGCTTGCTGTTTTGTGTGAAGACGTGGTCTTCACTCTGTGAGACCCCAGCCCTTTCAGGGCAAGGAGTGAGGCATCGGGGTGCTACAGGGCCTGCTGAGGCTCCTTTCCCATGCACACGCATCCATGGTGATAGGAAAGATGTAGACTCGTGCCCTGCAGGGGCCCCACTCTGTGTGTGCTTCTCTTCTGTGCGACTCCCTGCTGGGGAGCATGTGGTGACATGCAGGGCTGGGAGCAGGCTTGGGGCTCCTCTCCAGCCGCCCTGGGGGGATGGCATCCTCCCAGCCAGAACAGCATCCTGGGCCACAGTTCCCGCTCCACATGCGCCACACATGTGTCCCATCACCAGGGCAGTGCGCGTGGGGTCCAGCATCTGCCCTGTGCCCTCAGGCAAATGGTGCCCTAGGCTTCCTCCCGGCGCTGGTGTGGGCCTTGGTGTGGGGGCTCAGTGTGCGTGGCTTGCTGTCCCAGGCCTTCGTGTCTCTGGGCCTCCCTCCTTCGGAAGTGCAGGCTGGGGGTGCTGGGCATTAGCAGAAGTGCAGTGCTGGTGGGTGAAGGAGTTTGCTCTTGTAGAATATGATTGATTCCAGGGCTCAGGCTGTGGCTTAGTGGAGTAGCATTTGCCTAGCATGCTTGGGGGCTGAGAACTGGGGGGAAAGGGGGCTGGTTGCCAGTATTTGAAATCTTATTTGCCTGTCACATCATAGGTGTTTAGGGAACAAAGTTTAATAGAAAAATAATCAGCTGATATCATGGCAGCCCCTTGGGAATTTAAGCTCTGTCAGCTGATGTTGCAGCTTCCCTTTGGATCACTTCCTGTGGGGGATCACCCCAGGCGGAGAGCAGTTGCTTTGAGTCCTTTCAAAGTCATACAATTCCTAGATTTTGATCTGGGATATATTAGTGAGAAGGGAATGCGTTTTCCTTCCTTCTAGGTTATACCTATTTATGTTAAAAATATATAAATGAAACATTTGATTGTAAATGAAAAGTCAATGACCTACTTTAGGTCTCATGGACAGCAATGCTGTTAAAGTGAGAAAAAAACCAGTTTTAATTATTCTACTGAGGTGCACCCGCCTGTGCTATTTCTACCAATTTATTGTAATCTTTTCTTCCAAGTTTATGGTAGTAATTAAGTATAATTCACGGAGTGGATTTAGGCATGCTTTCAGGTTACCCCCTGTTGAAATGCACAAAAGACGCTGGAGGGAAGGAAGTAGCAGAGCAGGGTTGAAAGTGTGCCTCTCATTGCAAGCCTTTAAGTAAAACCCAGAAACATAATTAAATTAATACTGGGCAGCTCTAGGCTTTTTGATAGTTGCTATTTAATTTCATACAAAAGAACTTTCAATAAACACAATGTACATGAAGTTTCTTCTGATAGAATCATCTTGTATTATTAACTATCTGTCCGTTAAAGAAGTAAATGAAGTTTCCAGCAGTTTAAAAAATAGTCAGTTCTTTAAACCAGCAAGGACCATGTGAAGTAACCTGTGAATCAAAACAGTGAAATCTAACCGTTGGTTTTACCACAAAGGAGTTTTGGTCTGTGTGTGCAGGAAAGAGTTAAGGTTTTTAGTTAACGAAATAGTTAATAATAAAGATCTCCCTTTCAGATATGTTGTAAATATTAGTGCCTTTTTGAATAAAAATCTTTAAACATCCAAATAACAGTTAAACATTAGAAATGAACATTTTAAAAAGTTGCATGCCTCATGTAAATCTTGAGGTACCACCGACTGGGAAATCGTAGGGCAGACCTTAGGTAATTTTTTCGTGTTGGTGGTGTTTACCTCTTCATCCACTTAAACTGGTCAGTAACTAGTTTTTTATTAGCAAGTGTGGGGAGCACACCTTGTACCTCACTTGTCTCCCCTCTGCTTTGCCCCTATGGAAACAGATGCCTGAATTTTATAAATGTACTGTCCAGTAGGTGTCATCATACATTCACAAGCAGCCTGCTCTGTAGACAAAAGGGTTCTGGCAAAACATAGCCTTAAGTTTTAAAACAGACACAAGAGCACATGTGCACACACATGCATGCACATCCACACACACGCACATGCAGTGTCCAGATAATGTGCTTTGGAGGATGGAGTAGAGAAGACAGCCTGTCACAGGCCAGACACCAGTGTGGCGCCTCCTGACAACACATCAGCAGTTTTTTTTCCCGAGCAGACATGCAGGGGTCAGCTGTTTCTGTGGCAGATACCTGTGCTAGGGGAGCCAGTGTACAGAACTTGGCCCGTGCAGCCACAGAACCTGCCGATTCCCAGTCAGTGAGTCAGCAGGCTGAGAGGCCTGAGACCTACTGGTGTAAGTTCCCGCCTGATGCTGGCAAGCTCAGGATGCTTGACGAGAAGAAGGTCTGTGCAGCCACAAAGGCAGATGGAGGTAAACCGAGCCGAGCGTGCTGCTCACGGTGCCCAGACCAGAAGAGTTTCTTTCAGCCAGGAAGGAGTGCAGCCTTTTGTTCTGCTCTGGTCCTCAGTGGACGGGGGAGTCCATCGCAGTGGCAGCGCCTTCTGATTTAAGTGTGCGTCTCTTTAGAAGCCCCTCACATGTGCACCCAGGATAATGTTTGACCAAATGTCTGGGTGGCCTGTGGCCTTGTCACCTTGACACGTGAAAATAAACATATCAAAGTCTCTGAAGCATTAGCAGTTCTGGTTCCAGTGCCCTGGGTGCCCCTGGCAATCCCGTGGGTGCTGGGTAGCCCGGCAGCACCCATTCCCCACCCAGTGATTCCCAGCCTCCTTGTAAATACTAGAGTCTCTGCTCTTCTTCAAGTTAGATCTCAAGGGAGTTGACTGTGGTGGGTATCATGGGCAGGGCTCCTTTTAAGGACTTGAGACGTTTCTAAAACACCCCGGAATTCAGGGAAGTCAGCTTTGTGAAATGTGTTCTGGAAGGTCCTGGAGAACCTAAGCCTGGAGACTGTCCGTGGAGTACCCCGAAAGCCCTGTGCGCCGGCTCCCAATTCTCTCTTTCATACTCTCACACATGCAGATGTCATACACAGCGTACAGATAAGTGTGGGCTTGTCCATGGCATGCACATTGTAAACACACATATGTACACACACACTTGCATGTTTGTGTGTAGTACATTACGTACCACACACATGTATGCATAGGTATGCTTACTGGGCATGCATAAATATGCTCTAAAACACAGATATCATCGGGAAAAGAATCGGAGAAAATACAGTAAGTTTGGTGTTTGCCTTCCTAGAGACAAAACCAAAGTAGACTTTTAAAGGCATCCTGAATTCGGAGACAGCTCTGAAAGGAACAGGCAGGGCCCTACAGTAAGACATATCCTCAGAGACAGGAGAGACAGAGGGCTCTATGGGCTGAGAATTCAGCTGCCACCTGGCACCGGAGAAGGAAGTAGCTACATCGGGAGCACACACAAAGACAGAAAACCAACCACAACTCCCAGCTTACACATTGTGTGTGTTTACAGATGGGCCCATGGGTATGTGCACACTAAACACTTGTATTTTAAAGTTAATGTGAAGTCATCTCATTATCATTTATAATGTGACTAGTCTTAAATTAAAAGTTTGTGACACTTTTTAACTTTATAATATGTGAGGGTTTTAATTTTTTTTTTTTTTCTTCTTGAGACAGGGTCTCACTGTAGTGCAGGCTAGCTTTGAACTCACTGTGCACTCAGGGCGGCCTTGGACTCATGGCAATCCTCCTGCCTCAGCCTACTAAGTGCTGGGACTACAGGCATGCGCCACTGCTCCTGGCCAGGGTTTTAGTTTTAAGGAGTAACTTTTGCATTACATCAGTGAAGTGTCAAACTTGCACATAGTGTGTATAATCTTGTTATCACTTCTTTATTAGCTTCCTAGGTTTCACCTTCTGTGGTATTTTGTGTAAGAACATTACTTGTTTCTGAAAGTTAACTGAAATCCAGTTGAATAGATTTCTCTTTTAATTAGTGTAGTATTCTACAAATTAGAGTAAAAAGAACATGAGCTATGTTTATAAACAAAATATTTATTTATACAGTGTATTCTGTCTTAAATTATTTGTGAGACCCCTAAAAGAAGAGCAGTGATTTATAATTTTAAGTAATAAAGTGACATCTCTAATGCTTCTACGTATTTACCCAGGGTATGTGTGGGTCCTGTAGGATTACTGCACCTTACTCAGAGCTCACCGTTGGTTCTGTCCTGGTCACAGGAGGGGATCTGAATGCTAGGAGCGAGAGGTGTCGTGCTATATCCACGTGGGTTGCTGATGGAAGTGGCCTGTGTGGAAGTGGTAGAAGTGGTAGTTCCAACTTAATGCTTACGCTTCCAAGCTTAAAGGAATCCTGTTGAGGAGTTTTAGAAAGATAAGTGACTGGTTGTTTAGCCTGACTTCTTTTTTAGGCAGAGACCAGACTTACCTGATTCTTTTCCCTGTTAAGAAGGATTTGCTAATTAATCTATAGTCCAAAACTTCAATTATTTCTTAGTACTCCATTTACTCAAGTTATATTTCATGTTCTCACAGCAACTGCTGATGCATTTTTCTTTTTACTGAATTACTTCTGGAAGACAGCTAATACGTTTTACTTTGTTTTTGAATTTTTCAGACTGCCGAAAAATTGGGGCAGGTTGAAAGATCAAAGAATGTAAGACAGAGACAAAGTGATTTCAAGGTGAGTGAGGGTGAGAGTGCCGAGGCCCCCCAGTGGGCGGTCCATCTTGAGTGAGGAGAGGAAGGGCGAGGAGAGGAGGGGAGGGGAGGGCGACGAGGGGAAGGGAGGTGAGAGGAGAGAAGGGCAGAGCAGGCCTTCCCTTCGTGGCCCTGTTCCATGGCTCTGAGAGCGCGTGCCATGTGTCATTTTGCAGAAGATGATTCAGGAGGTTATGCAGGCCCTGGTGAAGCTGGTGCGCGGTGCCCTGCTGCCCCTCAGCCTGCGGGAGGTGGAGGCCCGGCAGTACGGGGGCTGGGAGGTCAGGGCCGAGCTCTCTGGCCAGTGGCTTACACATGTCATCCAGACCCTCCGGTGAGTCCTCAGGGGGACGTCGCTCCTTTGGCTTGGGATGGGGTGGGACAGAATGTTTAACCCAGGCCAGAAGAAGCGTTCCTCTCCCGCTCTGCCTGTGGCCTCCACTGTTCTCATGCATTACTGGCGACATGGCTGTTGTGCCTCCTGGTGCCATGTGTGCAGCTTCTCCCTGCTGCTCTTGGTGTCACCTCACAGCCGCCATCCCTGCTTGCCGCGGTCTCCTATGCCCTGTTCTCCCCTCCCACTCTGGACTTCAAGCAGTGGGTCCGCCCTACTCACTCTGCGTCTTGGGCTTGCATTCCAGGCTTACTTATGAGTCTCTGACTGCCCTGGAGATCCCGAATGACATGCTGCAGGCCGTCCAGGACCTCGTTCTGGACCTCCGCGTCCGCTGCGTGATGGTCACCTTACAGCACACGGCAGAAGGTGGGTACAGAGTCCCCACGCCGTGGCCTGCGTGGTGTTCGCTGAGTGTGCCACCTTTCTGGCATCCAAATCCTTGAAAATGAGAGAAAACAGCTCCTCTGGAAATTCAAGGTCTTAGTTCCTTTTAGTTCTGGCTAGTCCACAGGTTTTTTTGATACTGTTTTTTAGCATCTTCCAGAAGATGATGAGCTGAGATGCAAGGCAATGCAGAAATTAAGATGGATATACTTGAAAATATTTAAAAATACAAGCATAGAATACAAAATGTGTATAAATTGTGGGCCCATTTTTAAAGTGTGTATATTTAAAGAATCCTAATTTAGAAAGATTGTTATAAAATTAGAAGAAAGGCCAATAACAGTGGTTCTCTGGATACTAGAAATTATAGATGTTTCTTATTTTCTTAATGCTTTTTAAACTTTTCAGGAATTCCTACCTGAATCATAAGATGCAATTAGGATTACATTGATAAATGAGCCTGTTGAGTATTAAATATTTCCAAAGACAGTGAAGATCACTGTTAGGAATGGTGCGCACTACTGCTGCCTGCCTCCAGGCTTTTTGCCGAGGGGCTGTGTGGCTGCTGGGTGCTGGGAAGGGGCAGGTCCTGAGGAGCGCTCAGCCCCACGGTGCAGTGCTCTGGGCAGTGGCCTCCTTCCACCGCCTGGAGGTCACCTTGGCACAGGCAGGACACTGTTGGAGCGTTTAAACAGGATGCAAGGCATTACTCAGACATGTTAGGGCAAGGTACTATAGGGCTGATTTTGTGTATGTCTAGCATTATAAACAGCCCTGAATAAGTACTGTCGTCTCAAGTTGTCATTAGGCCTAGGCTACAATTCTCAAATTGGACAATGCAGTAAAAAAATATTATTTACATTAACATTTTATTAGAAAAATTCAGTGACTGATACATATTTAAATCCTCAAGTGGACTAAAATTATATTCTATTCCTACTTTCACCAAATTTTTATAAACATATAAAATAAGAACTTACAGATTTTTATCTATAAAGTACAGCGAGATAATTGTAATAAAAAGTACTCATGTTTGTTTTCCTTGTAGAGATAAAACGGTTGGCTGAAAAGGAGGACTGGATTGTGGATAGTGAAGGGCTGACCTCCCTGGTGAGTGCCATTCTTTTTGTTCGCACTAGTGTCCCCGTGCCTGGAGCCCAGGGCTTGTGATGAGTAAGGGGTGTCGGCTCTGTGCACTGGAACCTGTACGTGGTTTCTGTGAGTTACAAAAGAAGCTTCTTGAAGTTTCTCTTCTCGGTCATTTTTGTTTCATCAGAAGTATTTAACAATGAATGAAAACAGTGGGTTTCTTTTAGTGGGACCTATGTTTACATTGCTTTTAAAAACTCAATTATGCTTAATTCCATGGGCTCAGCAACCTGAAATTCTGAGCAAGCCGTGTGGAAGGGAAGCTAAAACATCTGTGGAAACAGCCCCAGGCCAGAGGGCAGCTATATCCATGCCCCTTCCTGCCTTTCAGCCCTCATGGATTTTGCTATTTTCACTTCTAACCCAGGAGCCCCTTGCCATCCTGGGGTGTCAGTGTGGTGAGATTGGCCACTGGCTGCACAGGAAGGGGTTCCCCTTTCCTGCTCACTGGCCTGACAGGCCGCTCCCTGTCTTCTCGGGACCCTGTACTGGCCACCTGAGACTGCCCATCTGCCAGGCACTGGGCGCAGTGCTGACCTCTGTCCTAACAAGGAGGTGCAGAACCTGTCTCTGTGTCCACATCCTTGGCTGCAGAGGCAAGGGTTCAGCTCTCACTGGAGGAGGTGATGATTCCAGGTTCTGCTTGTTCTGCTTGTTTCTGGGGAGAGAACTTCTAGTTTCAGCCTGGATGAGGAAGGAAGACTAAAATGCTTTGGTCACCCAGTCTTGCAGACAGGGATGAGCTGGGCTGTTGAGTGGCGAAACTCTCCCTTGCTGTTCTTACTCTCTTCAGGCTTCTGTACTTCTTCCTGGGTGCTGGTTCTCTTCTGCCCAACTTCAAGGCTCTTCTTACTTACTGTCCATGTATACAAGTGTAAGCTACTTCAAGTGGTAATGCACGGTAGAAAAAATGTTTTGCAAATTAAATTATGCCTTAAATGTGTTAAGAAAGCTTATTAGTATTAACAAATCTATTAATGTATTTTAAAACATTTTTTTAAAAGTTTGATTGGTTTGGCTTATTCTGTTAGTCACAGTTATTGGTATTATATAAGAACCCTGCCAGAGCTGATATGTCCTCCTTTTAGGTCTTTATAGAAAGGTTCGAGGCACCCGGAAGGGCAGCCGCTTGAAATGCTCGCAAAAATGGCATGTAAAATATCTCAACTTCTTATGTGGATTACATGTTGAAATTTTAAAATTTGAATATATTGCATTCAGTAATTGCATTAAAGTTACCTTCTTACTTTCTAATGCAGTTTGCTGGAAGATCTGAAGTCACATTGGTGGCTGTGTACGTGGCTGGGTTACACCCCTGCGGGCAGTGCTGACTGCAGGAGAACATGCCACACTTGCCAAGGGTCAGGGCCTGTCCCCAGCAGCCTGTGCCGCCGGTCCCATGCCCCATATGGTCAGCAGAGCAGGGCACCTCCTGCCCAGGCTGTGGGTTAGGATTAATGGGATATTGTGGATTTACAGTGCTTTGTAAACTGCAAATCTTTGGACAGCCTTACAGGACCTTCATTTGTTAATACTCACAACAGGCATAGCCCATGACAAGTTAAGGTTCTCTAGTTCCTAACCGCGTTCTCAAAGCTCTTCCGTATGCTTCTGTTGTGATTGTCAAAGTGAGTGGAAAGCCAGTGGGAAGGGATGCTCCGCTCACCCCACGGGGGACGTGGCCCAGATGAGAGTCGTGAGCAGATCGCACGTTAGTCGCCGTGAGCGCCGCTGTCAGACAGCTGCTGCAGTGGGGCTTTTGACGTGTTCAGTGTGAGAACCCAGTCTCTGTGGCCAGGGTTTTGCATTTCATTAAAACTAAAAACGCTGGATACAAGCTCAGTAGCAGGGCATAAAATAGGTCCAGGCCTTCAGTCCCTTTTCAGGGCGCACACGGTGGCCACATCCCAGCACTGTGGGCTTTGCCGCTGTGAAGGCAGCCCGGGTGGTCACACAGAAGCTTCTAGCACAGAAGGTCAGACTGACCACCGTAGTGCAGGTGTAACAAGAGTAAGCAGGTTCCCATTACATGCGCCACATGCAGGCTCCACAAGTGCATGCAGGGAAGGGAGGACGTGCTGGAGCCTGCAGTGCGCAGTGAGTGGCCGCCAATTCCCATTGGGAGCCAGGCAGGACGCGCTCGGGTTGAGTGTCACCCACAAAAGCCACTGACTCAGGGCTTCAGTAGTGTTCACTCAGTTCTGCTGGCTGCTCTTGCCACCTCTCTTAAGAGAACAGGTGAATCAACGCTTGGCCACAGCCTGGATCCCAGCTTTGAGTAATTCCACCCAAGAGTGTAAGGCTCTGAGCTGCCTGGGGCTCAGCGGGCAGTGGCCTCCGATGCCCATTTCCTGGCGTTCCCACAGCGCCAGTCCAGCGAGCTCGCTGCTTTCCCGTCGCTGGGACAGGGAACCCTTCCTTGTGGGGTCCCTGAACCATGGTCTCTGGTTAGAACTGTGTTGCTTTCTTCCTAAACAGATCATTTGAAAGCATCCTGTTTTCTTCTCAGGTCAGATATGACCTCTGCTTTTTTTCATTTTGGACAGTTCTGAGAATTTCTTGTTTAAGAAGTACTGGAATGATCTGTGATAACTTCTCACAATTAGCCAGGCTGGATGATTCACTGTCAGTGTGGAGCTAGTACCATCTCCTGGCTTTCAGAGCAAAGAAAAAGTTTTGAGACTGTTACTTGTTCCCAGTTTAACTGAAACTGCTCCCTGAGCTGTCGGGATTCCCATCCACTTGCCTGCTGATGGAGGTGTGGGCGCTGAGGCAGCCTAGCTCGATCTCAGCCAGAGGTGTCTAAGTGCCTGTGCGGGGTGCACGCAGGCTGCACCTGCCGTGGAGGCGCTCGCGTGTACACTTGATATTATGACTCTTTCTGTTCTGATGTCTTTGTGTTTGGAGCACGGCACGGTAGGGAGGGCAGAGGAGAAGGCTGGCCGGCCGGCCCGCAGGCTGACTATGGAGGGGTCCAGCGCAGGCCTTGTGCGCACTGTGCAGTAACAAGCACGTTGCTCTGTCAGCGCTTCTGCGCAGTGAGGAACGCATCCCGCGTGCCCTGCCTCTCCTTGCCTATACTTCAACATGTAAATGTTCTCTGTGGTGCTTTCTGGTGGTTTCAGAGTGCAGCAATAAAAACACAGTGATGCTGAGGCAGTATTTTCACTTTCATTAACTCAAAGCTCCTCTCTAAAAAGTCAGCTTGTCTGTCCATCTGTGCCTATACCTGTGTTTGCCTGCATATCTAGATGGATAGATGTGCTGTCGCTTCCTTTGTTAGTTTTTTCCCTCAACGAACCTTGCAAGGGATGCATTGTGGACACTGACGAGGGGCTCTGCCTTGGCACTCTTGAATGTGGGTCCCTCCCTGCTGCAGTCCCTCGTGTGAGCTTCAGCCCTGTGTGCACTCCACTCGTACTTAGCACTGGGGCATCCTAGCCACCTCTTGTGCCATTGGGCATGCTGCTGCCTGCACCCTGAGCTTGGGCTCTGGGCTTGGCCTCTGGTCTGAGAGGCCTTCTCTGACCATGCTGTTGAGGGCCAACACCCCGCAACCCTGCACACTTCTCTCTCAGTTCTACATGTTGGTCTTGTGGTCCTTTTCTACTGCAGCTTTATTTCTGTACTTTTTAAAAAGCTGTTTTGATGAGATGTTCATCATCTCCTGACTGGAAAAAAATTTACTGAGAATTCTGTGTCATTCACTCAAATCTGTTCACTAGAGTGAAAACTTCACAAGGTGTGAGGTATTGTTTACACTTAGCTCGAAATGCCATTGGTGGGACACATTTTCAGGTTTCATTTTCTGGCTTAATTGCTATAAAAAATGTCTATCTTAACCTGTTTGATTTAAAGATCCTTGTGCCTCCCGCATGTCGTTCTTAGTGACGTTAGATTCAGGTGCACATTGTGGGAGCCGTGGAATGTCTAGGTGGCAGAGCTCACTCCCCCGCCGGTGCCCGGGAGGTAGCGTGTGAAACACAGCTTGTGGTCCGGGTCCCTATCATGTTGTGGTTTACTTCTCAGGACAGCAGAGTTTTAAACAAAATGTCCAGCTGTATTTGAGTGTATTTTAGTGAATAAGATATACTTTAGTCTTAAGATTCCCCCACTTTGGAAAGGATGGAAAGGTCTGTAATCTGGTGGTCATGGGTAGTGGGATTTGAGGCCCTTCCTGCAGCCCAGAGGACGGGTCTTGTGGGCAGGTCTGTCACCAGCCAGCGTGTGCCTGGTGATCTGAGGTGGGTGTTTTCTCTTCTCCAGCCATGCCAGTTTGAGCAGTGCATCGTGCACGCTCTGCAGTCGCTGAAAGGGGTTTTGGAGTGCAAGCCCGGAGAAGCCAGCGTGAGTCTGCATCCCAAGTCCCCCGTGCCCTTCTTTGGGAGCCACCCTGGCAGGCAGTGCTGTGGGGGTTCCGTGACCTTACTGCTCAGGGTCGCGCTGAGTGTAACAGCACGCACTCAGTGCTAGTGCTTCCTGCCACAGGGAGGGGGGCAGCTTCGGCGGGCTGGGCGCAGGGAGCACCAGCCAGTATCCCCAAGCTGGAGACACCGTAAGCCTGCCCATCACCCTGCAGTTACTCGTTTTATCTCCAGCTCAAGTCCAGAAATGCTGTTCCAAATTCTTCCTCACAGGTCTTTCAGCACCCTAAGACGCAGGAGGAGGTTTGCCAGCTCAGCATCACCATCATGCAGGTAACGGAAGGCAGCCCATAGGGGTCTGGGCTGGAGAGTTTGCCTGTCAGCACCGGTGTGTGTGTGTGTGTGTGTCAGACAGCAGGGACCTGGGCTCTTAGCCCCGCCTGCGTGTGTGATCGCACTGAGTGAGCCGGCAGTGTAGGCAATGCAGTGTGGATTCCTCCTCGTTTTCACTGTGCCCAGATGTTTCAGTTATAGTGTGTTCCCATGGTATTGTCCTTAGATCACAAAGTGAATTCAATGATAGTTACTTGTTTGTACTTTAACTTTTTTCTTATGAGGACCAGTGCTTTCTAGGTACATAAAGATGAGCATGTTAGTGAGTAATAAAGAGAAAAAAAAATTTTTGCTAATGTTCAAGAACTTTTTTTTTTGTGTGGTACTGGGGTTTGAATCCAGAACCTTCAGCTGAGCTACATCTCCACTCTTTTTTATTGTTAATTATTTTATTTTATTTTTGAGACAGGGTCTCAGTGAGTTGATCAGGCTGGATTCAAATTTGTGATCCTCCTCCCTCAGTTTCACAGACAGCCAGGTTACAGACCTGCATTGCCACACCTAGCTAAGAACTTAATAACTGATCATAATGTAGATGCTCTTAATTTGCATTGCTTGTATAGTATATATGTTTTAGATACATGTTTCTACAGCCTAAGTAGTATATAAATATATACATATTTAACAGACCCCTTTCTCAACACCTTAAGTGATGTTCAATTCTGTTTTAATTTATGTGGGATAATTTTTGATGTCCAGGGAATTAATAACTGAGAGTGCATGTTATTGAAACTTTCTGCTTTTGACTTAGGTTTTTATATACTGCCTGGAACAACTGAGCACCAAGCCCGATGCGGATATAGATACGACACAGTAAGGCATAATCTCATTGATGTGTTTTAAGAGAATTTAAAGTGCATGATCAAGATATATATTTGGTTTTGTATCCTTAGGCTTCTAGCAGGGAGCTAGCTTGCTTAAAGTCATAGTTTTATATCCGTGACCTATGTTCTTTTCATAATTTCTTAATGTTCTGCACTTAGCCTCATGGGAGATATGTGGAGGGTGTTGAAGACATAATTAGTTTATTTATTTTCCAGACGCATGGGCTGTGCAGCTCATGAGGTCCAGCATGTAAGTGGGTGCCCTTGTTGGTTGCTGCCCGACTCCGGCCTAGTAGGTGGCAACACCGTGCTCCTACAGGAGACCAAGCGGGGGCAGAGTTCAGTCCAGGGCAGTGTGATGATGCAGGTTCCTGGGGACACATCCTGACCCTGGAACTTTGCAGCTGTGACAGGGACGGCAGCAGCATAAAATGTTTGTTTTCTTTTTATTATGGTTTTTTGTGAATGACACTTGGCATGTGTAATTTCACGAACTTAAAATTCAACGTAACACACATAAAACTGTAAGAAAACAAATGCCTCTTCAATCTTTAGTGGACAGTTTGAGTGCATCTTTATATTTTGTCTATTTCCTAGTATTGCTTTTTGCCTGTAACTTCTCTAGAGACGTAAGAAGCTTTTCATTCTGTTAGGTTTTGGTTTGATTCTCCATGTTGGGTTATTAATTTACCAGAACTTGGATTGTTAATCAGAACCCTGACGTTAATTACGTCTTTTCCGTTCCCCACGTCACTGACGTCAGTGGGTGCCGCAGCGCATTCTGAACTTCATTCTCATGCCAGTGTGCGATCCCACGCCCGGCGCTGTTCGGGGGCTCGCACAGTGGCACCCGCTGTTGCCCATGTATTGGAAATATTTCACGCATTTCATGGTTTTAGTCTGTCAGTCAGTAAGTCACGCTGGGGTGTTTGCTGTGCTTCAGTTACGTCTGCAAAATAACAGGTTTATGAGCCCTCAGCTTGCCACCAGCTTCTTCTGTCTCTGGTCCTTGTGGGTTATCAGCGAACTCCCTGGCTCCCCTGGATGAGGGTACTAGTCGGGAAGTGCTTGGAAAGTCCCTGGATATTCTGATAAGCAAAAATGTGTTGATATTTGACATCTTCCCTTGGATGATTTGTTTTTAAACTATATTAAGCCAGTTTTGAAGCTACCAAAAGGTAGATTTCATGTAGGGCCCAGTTGATAGTCCATTCTGCCTTTTTTGATCTCTACTTACCAAACACAAAAACTGACAGAACGTTAGTTGATCTGTTTCAGAATGTTTTCAAATCATACTTACACACAGCTCATTGTATTTTAAACTCTGTTCTGTGTGCAGCCTCTCTGTCGATGTGTCTTCTCCTGATTTGTTTGGAAGCACCCACGAGGACTTCAGTTTGACTTCTGTAAGTAAGATGACAAACAGAAAGTGACCTGCATTGTTGTGGAACTGCTCGGGGCGGCTTCGCACTCCTGGAGTGCCTCTGACACTGGCGGTGGCCCAAGGTGCAGTTCTGCCTTGCCCTGGCGGCACTGTAACGATGCGGCTGTGTGCGAACCAAGGCTTCACAGTATTTAGGGATAATTCACATATGTGTATTACCATGTTATACATTTAGCTGTTGGAAAAAACTCAAACTTCCTTGAAGAAAATACCTTTCTCATGACACATTGTATGTCTGTATCTTAAAAAAAGAAGTATGTGCTGTTTCCTGCCCTATGTTATTCGCAATTATTATGATTATCACTATGGATTCCTAAATAATAGGTGGCTTGGTATATTAAGAAAAATAGAGTTTAGTAAAGATAATTAAAGACATTCTAGGTTTACTTACACATGACTAGATACAGAACATTGCCATTCACAGAGATATACAACTTCTGTGGAAAGAATGAACACTGTGTACCGGGAGGGCAGGAGCTAGGGACGGCAGAGCTCCAGCTTTGAAGTGAGCCGGTCCCGGTCCCATTCCTGTTCTGGGCTGCACTTCCCCACGGCCGAGCAGTGGCACAGCATGCCATGCCGCGCTGGTTCACCTGCAGGGCTGCCTTCAGTCAGGGACTTCTCACTGTCACCGTCGCACTCCACCCGAGGTGGCTGTAAGCTTTTGCTCTAGCATGCTGCTTTAACACCTGTGTTGTTGGCTTGTTCTTCCCCTTCTGTTTCGTCTCCTCAGTTAGACCTAACCAAAAGGCGCACGTCCTAAGGGGAGGCTGGAGAGCACTCTGCACTGGTTTCTGTTTTGAAGGGGAATCCGCACATTTCAGGGTTAGATGGAGACACTACCTGAAGTCTCCTCGGCCAGCAGGCTCAGCCTGCCAGGTGAGCAGGCTCGACCCTGGAGTTCTCTGAGGAGCCCGAGGTCCTAGAGGAAGGCGGTGTTTTTGTGTCACTGATGAAAAGTCTTGTTTACGTGCTTTAAAAAGCACTGCCTCATTACCAGGCTCGGGCTGAGAGGGAAGCGAGGCCTTGCCAACCGACGGCGCCAGGCCTCGCCGTGCTCCCCTTCGTCTGGTGTCTCCCGCCGCTTACTGCCGCAGTGTGGGCCAGGCGCTGTACAGCATGCGGCCCAGGGACCTTGTTTTGTAGTCTGCATCTCACCCACAGTTAGTTCAGGCCGTTGGCAGTCTTCGACTCCTTTCGTGCTACGGTACTTGGATAACTCTCTGACCTTCTGTCTATGTTTATTAACCAGAAAGGCAGAGACTGGGCTGTATTCTCCCATGAATAAAGATAGCAACATCTTAAGTAAAGAAATGCAGGTCTTGGGACATTTGATTCAACCCTGAGCTCGACTGAGCTAAATTATCGGGAAATTATTGGAAGATGTAAGATTTGCTTGGCAGTGGAGTTCAAAAACTGTAGTTCTTTTTTGGTCCGGATACACCAGAAAGCACATTCGTTTCCTCATTTTCCAGACTGCATTACTTTCTGTGGGTTCTTAGGAGTCTACACAGAAAGAATAAGCCAAGGATGGGTGAGAACTTTTCCTGGAAAGTGGCTTAGCCTTAGTTTTAGTCAAGGGGCTGAGTGGAGGCCCTGGGTGAGTCACGGCTGTTCCAGAGAATGCGCTTGGACCTGCAGAGCTCAGAACCCTGCCTGGGCGAGCCGCAGCCACAGCAGCAGCAGCAGCGGTGGCAGTGGGGCCATTCCTGGAATTCTGCTTATAAAAAAAGTTCTTCTGAACTGTAAAAGGGCTCAGTATTCACCAACTTTGGGGGCTGGTCATCCTTAAATTAGACAGAAGCCTGGCAAATATGGCAGCTCTGCCTCCTCTTTGGCTACCCAACCACTTCCTGTGGCAGGCTGCCAGCCTCTGGGACCCTCGCTCCCTGTGGGGAGGAAGCTGTTTCTACACACAAAAAGTTCTGGAAGACCTAATGTTTCGAAGGATCTGTCAAACATACTAATATGCAAGGTCATCCTCTTCCAAGTTAAGAAAACATTGTAGATTACTTTTAATAAGTTCTGCACTTTCTGCAGTTGGTTAATTAAAGTGGCCAGGTGTGTGGCCTTGTTCTGTGTGTAATTACTAAAGGGAACATTACCTGAGCCTTTGTTTTCTGGTGTGGGCCAGAGCCTTGCGCAGCCAGCAGGTGCTGTGCCGAGGGCCGCAGGGCAGGCCCGGCTCGGCTCTTCAGTCCGAGGTGGAACCAGTGGTGTGTGGAGATGTGGGCTTGCTTTGTATTTCTCTGTTTGTGTTAGGAAAGAAGCAGCTAAGAGAAGCCAAGTGTTGAATATTGGTGTTAAAGATTGAAAGATTACAATTAAATTTTATAAGCAGTAACACGTGGTGCTTGTTACTATAAATGTAATTTTCTCAACATTTGTTGTACTTTCAGGAACAGCGACTTTTGATAGTCCTGAGTAATTGCTGCTATCTAGAACGTCGCACCTTCCTGAATATAGCAGAGTATTTTGAAAAGCATAACTTCCAGGGCATAGAGAAAATAACCCAGGTAAGTGAGTTCTTGGAATTGCACAGATGACCGTCTCACCGCTGGGCTGTGTGCCGGAGTGCGATCGGGCTCCCTCCTCCGCATGCCTTCCCTGTGCCTGCCTGCACGCCGCTGCTGCGTTGCCTGACTGATTCCCCAGGGTCGCACTCCGCCCTTCTGCAGTCAGAGGCTCCCGGGCTTACAGCTGGCTTGTTCCCCCTCCCCGCCAGCTGTCCAGGCTGCGGGAAGCAGAGGACAATCTCAAGCCCAGGTCCTTAGAAGTCATCTCACATTTGACTTCTTTGCGTTCAAGCTTTCCACACAGCCACCAGCACCATTCGAGGCTGCTGGGAGCCTGCAGGGAAATCCCTTCCTGCTGACCCTCCCCTCTCCTTCCTCCCTCCCTTCCCGTGTGGCTGCCGCAGAGCTTTGGCTGTACGCAGGCCCTCACACTCACGTGCCACGCGCAGGCACACGTGCTCTGCTTACAGCAGCAGAGGGTGCTTAGCAGCTTCCCTGAGCAAAGTGTGCCCCCCACTGCAGTCGCTGCACACAGTGAGGTTGGCTAAAGTAAGTCCTGTACAGATCAATCCAGTGGGTTCTTTAAATAATGTTATCTCGTGTTTATATTTTTTTCAAGTAAGCAGAAAAGGAAAAAAAAATGAAGTAATCTTGTTACTAAAGGTTGACTGGTTCCTGGGCAAAGGTTTATCAGATTTCTAAGTAACACTACACTAGAACCACTTCTGAATGTCAGTACATTTTTCTCAATGCAAAGATTCAGAAAGATAATGACCTTGTTAATCATATGATCAAAGTTTACTCTTGGTGGATTACATACTGTTTTTTATAAATGATGGTTCTAGTTCATGAACGAGATTGGGATTTTTTTTTTCAAAGAATGAAAATGTCAGAGTGGGCGGCTATGTCTTGTTTTCCTGCCTTTTTGTAAAGATTAATCACTCTGATGAGAAATGTTGTGACTCTTAAGCTTTAGAGCCCAATGTCTGGTTTATTTCCAGAAATTCTTATGTCGAGAGTCGCAGGATGATGTCTTGCAATAAAAGCTACTACAATTTGTAGAAAGTGAGCACTTTGCTTTTCTATGAGGACAATAATGGTGTGAATACATTTACTAGAGAAGTTTTATTTAGCACTTAAAATATTTGAAATGATTAAAAATTACATATGGGAGGCACTAAGTTTGATTTCTCTCTAGGATTTTGTGAAGTAATAAGTAGGAACTTGGTGTTGTATCAGTTTATATCATCAAGAAACAAAATAAAATTGACATAAACAAGGATTTTTTTAAAAAAAATCTTTCCCAATCTCTAGCCCAATCATTTTGAGAAAAACTAATATGAAGGATCAGGAGTTGTACTGTAGAATGCATGTCAGGCTGTTTTCCTTGTTCAGAATTTAAATTTTTTTTAATTGACCATTTTGGAGATTTTGAAATTATGCAATGGTGGCTGAAATGAATAGACAGTAAAGGGATGGAGGTTCCAGTGTTTGTGGTGATTCTGGTGGTGACATGGGAGCCCACGACCTTGCTGATGCCACCCAGGGGTGCATGCCCTATCCGGGCCTGAGCGTCACTGTTCCTAGTTCCTTTTCCCCATGGCAAACACCTTAGGAAGCCTGGCGGGCAGCGGCACAGCTGGCTGGGCGCTGGCTCCTCCGGCGCTTCTGCTGTCCTGTCCAGGAGCGCGATCCCCTGGTCCCCACTGGCGTCTCGCATGTCCCACTGGACACTGGCGCCTGCTCAGGCCGCCTCTGGAGGAAGGCTGGCCGTGGCCAGGGTGTCCTTCAGCCGCTGCGTCCCTCTTCGCTCAGCGGCAGTGTCAAGTGTCCGCCTTGTCTCGTCCTCACCAGCGCTGGGGCGCCGGTTCCTTTTGGATGTGCGGTCTGTCATCGCTTAACTTGGTGTTCCCCATCCGTGACGGATGCACTGGTCCCTTGCCGCCGCGTTAGTGTATTTTCCCCATAAAGGTGCTGTTCGTCTCCGAGCTCCTCCTCAGGCCCGTTAGAAGTGTGCAAACAGTCCTTTGTTCCACATTTATTTTTTCTCCTAGCTGCCGCTTGCTGTTCAGTGTTACACAGTGATGTCCTTTGGGTGGGAGTTTTTAATGTTGAGGAGATCATTTGTCAGTTACATATACTGCATATGTCGTTCTTACCATATCTAATTAAAATCCTTCGCGGCTTCAGTGCCCTTTTCCTAGAGGCCCCTTACTGTTCACTTTGTGTTTAGATCTGTAGTCTTGACTTTCACTGAACTTTCACTAAGTTTTCCTATATGAAGCGAAGGGCTGGGGTTCATTTTGGTTTTCATACAAGTGCCACATTGCGCCGTCACTGTTCAGCCTTTTTTCTCCTTGAATTTCATTGGTGCCTTTGTCAAGAAGGTCAGCGGACCAGGCGTGAGCGTCTGCTTTGGGCTCGCCTCCTGCCGGCCGCTGGCAGTGATGCGCGCAGTATTGATGAGGTTGGGGCTCCGCTGTGAGCTTGAAATGGTGTAGGTTATCTTCATACTTCGTTCTTTCCAAATTTTCTTGGTTAATTCAGGTCTTTTCCCTTTATGTGTAAATTTTAGGATTAGCCTGTGAAATTTTACCAAAGAAAGGCCTTTCAGAAATTGGTTGACTTTGGAGAAGATTAATAGCATCAATACTTCTTATGTTTGTATTTATTTAAATTATTTTAGCAGCATTTTGTTGTTTCCAACAGAAATTTTGCACATCTTTTTAAAAATTTAGTCCTAGTTTTTTGGTGCCAATATAAATGGTAATGTATTGTAAATTATTTAACTAGTAACTTATAATTGATTTTTTTGGATTTTTATCGGCACGTTTGTGGTATAGTGAGTACATTCATTGTTTCTGTACTGTGTGTCTTAATAATTTTTTTTATGTTCCCCCTTTCCCCTTGTCCTGTCTCTTGACATGTTTTGTTCCTCTTGCCAATTTAAAATGCTCTCCCTGTTTCCTAGAAGGTATTTTTATTTTGCTACTTAATTTATTTATACTTTGGCTTTCTTTTGTGATAGAAACCATATGATATTTAAACGTGTGATTTATTTCACTGAGTGCATCCATTTTCCTACAAATAATTCAAATTTATCCTTCTTTATGGCATAGCAGTACTCCATTGTGTGTAAGCACACATTTTCTTTATGCTTTCATCTGTGGATGGGCATATAGGCTGCTTCCAAGACTCACTAGTAGAGATTGCACCGCTGTAAACATGGATATACATGTCTTTAGTTAACTCTTGGAGGAAGACACCTAGAAGGGGAATAACTAGATCAAATGGAATTGTTCCAGCTTTTTGAGGAACGTCTATTCTGATACCGTGGCGGTTCTGTTTGTTTGTATTCTTGCTGTTTAGAAGGGCTCCTTTCTCCCCCAGCTCTGCCAGCATCTGTTACTTAATTTCTTGATGATGATAGCCATCCTTCCATACTTTTTGAATTGTACTTCTCTGAGGGCTGGCAGCATTGACATTGCTTCGTGTGTTTATTGGCCACTTGTACTTCTGAGAAGCATCTGTTCACTTCAGTTGGCCATTGTTTGATTGGTTCTTTTATTTGGGGAGTCTAACCTTTTGAGTTCTTTATGTTTTACGTACTAATCCTCTGTCTGAGATGTAGCTGGCAAAAGTCCCTTCCCCTCCGTGGGTGACTTCTTCGTTCTGTTGGCTGCTTGGTTGTGCAGGAGCTTTTTCACTTGATGAGATGTTATTGTTGATTCTTGGTGCTGATCCCTGTGCAGCCAAAGCTGTGTTTAGAAAGTTCTTGTCTATTCCTGTGACTTCAAGAGTTTTACCTGGTTTGTCTTCCAGCAGGTTCAGTGTTTCTGTTTTAACATTTAGATCTTCAATCCATTTTGATTTTTAGTATGATCCATGGTGAGAAATAGGGATCTAGATTCGGCCTCCTGCATGCGGATAGCCAGGTTTCCCAGCACCCTTTATTACAGAGGGGCTCTGTATGAAGACCAGATAATCGTACGTGCGGAGTTGTACCTGCATCCTCTCTCCTGTTCCACTGATCCGCGTATGTGCTTTCGGGTCAGTACCGTGTTCTTCTTATCACTTCAGCTTTGTGGAATAACTTAGATCTGTACTGTAGTGCCTGTCACTGTGCTCTTATCGTTCTGTATTGCTTTTGCTAGTCTGGATCTCTTCTGGTTCTGTGACTGTTCTGGAATTGTTTTCTCCAATTCTGTGAAGAATGTGGCTGGTATTTTGATTGAGAGCGCATTACGTCTGTATAAAAGTTTTGGAAAATATGGACATTTTTGACCATTAGTCTGCCTGTCTAGAAATAGGAGATAGCTTTTCAATTTCTTAGGGCCTCTTTGATCTCCTTTTTCAGGATAACCTGCTTTTCATGTACAGGTCTTTCATTCCCTTACTTAATTCTTCAGTGTTTTAATTTTCCTTGGTTTTACTGCAAATGGTATTTTTTCCTAATTTCTTTTTCAGGGGGTTATTATTAGTGTATGAGAACGCTGTTGGATTTTGTGTGTTAATTTTGTGTCCTGCTACATTGCTGAATTTGGTTATCAGTTCTAGGAATCTTTGGGTAGATTTTTTGGGTCTTTTATGTAGAAGATCATGTCATCTGCAAATAATTTGATAATTTGACTTCCTTTCCTATACATACTTTTTTTTCTTGCCTAATTGTTCTAGATAATGTTCTGAGACCTAAGCAGAAACGAGGGTAGTGGACATCCTTGTCTTACTCCTTTTAGAGGGAAAGCTTTCAGTTTTCCCCACTTAATATGATGCTGGCAGTAGGTTTTCATGAATGGCTTTTATCAGATTGGGATGGGGTCAGACTCTATTTTCTTCAGTGTTTTTTTAATCATAAATCAATGATGAATTTTGTGAAACGGCTTTTTCTGCATCTGTTGAGATCTTCATGTGATTTTTGTCCTGTCTTCTATTTATATAATGTATTGTATTTATCAGTCTGCATATATTGAACTGCCCTTGCATCTCTCAAATGAAGACTACTTTATCATCATGTATAAATATTTTGAAGATTCATTACCTTCTGTTTGCCAGTATGTTGTGGAGGATTTTATATCTGTATTCGTTAAAGAGATTGCTTTACTGCTTGTTTTTGGTTGGGTCCTTGTTTGATTTTAGCATCAGGGTAATGCGAGTTTCTAAGAATAACCTTGAGAGACCTCTTTCCTTTTTAGTTTCTTTAATGGGCCTGAGAAGTATTGGTGTTTGCGATGCCCTGAAGTTTGTGTGGAATTCAGCCATGATTCCATCCACAGGGTTTTTAAAAAAGTGATAGTTTCTGTTTCATTGGATTATTTATTAGCTTTTTCAGAGGTTTTCTCTCTTCATTTAGTTTTGATAAATCATATGTATCTAGGACCTTCTTCTGAATTCTCCAATTCATCAGTATACAGGTTTGCAAAGTAGTTAATAATTGTCTGGAGTTCAACACTGTCTGCTATGATTTCACCTTTTTCATTTCTGAATGCATTTGATTTGGGTATTTTCTTTCCCACTTTTTTGGTGAGATTGAGGGCTTATCTGTTTTGTGTAGTTATATATCTGGTTTTGAACAATTAGCTCTTTGATTCACTGATTCTTTGTATTGTTTTTGTCTGTTTGCTTATTTTTGTTTTGTTTTTTTTTTAGCCTCAGTTTCGTTGATATCTGCTCTGGTCTTTCATAACCTCCTTCGTTGCCCTGGCTTTGGGTTTGGATTTTTCTTGTCTTTTTGCTACCTCGAAGTGCTTCCTGAGGTTGCATATTTGGGTTCTCTCTGTTGTGGTGATGCCGCTGAGGTTCACAGCCAGCAGCGTCCTCTTAGGACTACCGTCATTGTGCCCCCTAGATCAGGTATGGTGCTGTAGCTTTAGGACAGCTTCAGGAACTGTCTCAGCATTTCCTTCACCCTCGCCTGGCAACTGATAGTCTGTATCTGTGTTTCTAGGTCAGCATGGCCTCATTGAAAGAACTTGACCAGAGACTCTTTGAGAACTACATTGAACTGAAAGCAGATCCCATTGTGGGCTCCTTGGAACCTGGGATTTATGCAGGCTACTTTGATTGGAAAGACTGTCTACCCCCCACAGGTAGGTCACCAGTCAGTGGGGCTCTCTCTGGGTTTCGTAGTGGGTCTACAGGGATGAGTCCCAGTGTGCTTTTATCAGGTAGTGTTTGCGTCAGCTACTGTTGGTATTCATGTTTTCCTCATTTTTGCTGAGGATGGGAAATTAGATTTCCTTTTGCTCCTTATTCACTTAAACACGTTTTTGGGTATTTTTATTATTGATCTTGGTTGCTTAGATACTTGTTAATTCAGAGAATGATTAACTGTCCCTTTATCACCATTGATCATTTTAGTACTGCATGCTTCCTTTTTTGCATAAATATGAGAGTGATTGTGAGTGACAGTGACTGTGAGTGATAATTTCGTGCAATGATCTTGTGACTACCATCAGAAAATGGATCCCAGAAATCTGGTCACTTTGTGTAAGACCTATTAGTGGATGCTGAGAAGGACAGAAGAATGTGTAAAAGAAAGGTTGTTACCATCATTCAGAAAGAATATTGAGCCACCAAAGGATGCTGATGTGGTGCCAGCATTATCTTTGTAATGTCGATTAAAAGTCGCTTCAATTGCTGTATATTTGTGTTTTAAAAATAATTACTGCTTTTGGAATCAAACAAGCATTTTGACTGATCAAATAATTTTCTCCTTTTACGAAATATTGTGGAATATGTGAGTCCAACCACTAGTTAATAGAAGTGATGTTATATAGAAGTGTCTGTGTTTATTTTAAGCATAGGTTATACCTAGATACATAAACTTAGATGTACCAGTAAATTATTAAAAGGTTTGCCTTATCCTTTAGTCTTTTAACTAAAGTGTTTGCATTGGTTTTTATTATATAATGCTTTTATTAGATGGTGATAAAGTCATTTACTATTTAGACACATTTTCTTTTTTTTGGTATGGTGTTCACGTACAGTGATGTGAAAACCTGAACTGTTAAATTACTATTATTATTTCACGTGGCCAAGGCTACTGAGCTTTCTGCAGTCACGTCATCGGTAGTCTTACAGGACCTTACTCCTCCAGCAGGGTGTGATTGATTTTTTTCTTAAGCTCCGTTACTTTTCCGTATTCACGCTTCGCTGTACCCACACGAGCTTTGGTCATTCCTTTATTTTTCCAAGTGCACATTTGCAGTGCTCAGTGCCGGCATCGTTGTGAGGCTACGTATCAGTGCAGCACACGCCCTCATTCTTTTTGAGCCTTGCCCAGGTTCCCTTCCCATTTGCAAAAGATCTATCTCACAAGGGTCTCTTACCTATCTTTGACTTTGCTCTTTATAGTTTGCATTTCTTATATAGAGAAACTATGTGCTATTTAAACTGTGTGTCTGGTTTATTTCACTTAATGTTATGATTGGTGTCAAGGTGCACCCATTTTTCTACACTAAACAGGTTCTTTTTAAAGCCTGAGTCAGATCCAATTTGAACCTTGTTTCAAAATTCCTGTTATCTGTTCCCTTTATAGAGTAAAGCTGTGGAGTCGTGGTGTGCAGGCCTGTGCCCCAGGGACCCAGGACGCTGGCCCAAGGCCTCTCTCCAGTACCGCTCTCTGGCTAGTTTCGGCTTGCCTGACCTGAAATGCACATTGGTTCTGTTAGCCCCCTACCTCGAGCTCTTTGGGGCCTGCCTCCCCTTCCCTCCTCCTCCTTAGAGTGCTGGGCTCTCCTGCGCTCACCTGCTTGCTAACTCCTCACTCCCGCCAGCTACCAGTCGCCATTCCTCACTCCTGTTCTTGTCCCTGTGCATGTGGCAAGTGCTGTGTCATCTGCCACTCCCTTGCTGGGCAGCTACCGGTGTTGAATGGGGTCAGCTGCAGAGCATGTACATGCAGCTGTGCGGGTGACCGAAGTCTTATGGGTTATTTATTAGTCTTCCAGGTGTTTGCCATGTGCTCTTGCAGTGATTTTTACAAAATTTTTTTCAACAGGAAGGTAAATCTTATAGTGTCCTTATTTCTATTATTGTTCTCTCGCTTTTTGGTAAATTATATAGTGAATATTCATACTCATTGAACTGAAAGGAAAGAGCTTTTCACCACTCATTTTCTTGTCTTCTGTGAATTCTCACATGTCCGCTGTATGTACTTTCTAAATTTCAAGCAGTGGCATTTCAGTTCAAATAGAACTATCAAGTATATCTAACACGGCAATCTTCATGCAAAAATGAATTCTCCAGTGTAGATGGATTTTGCTAAAATCTTTGTTTTCTTCAGTGATTAGCCTGCATTAGACATGCACTGTTGGCACAAAAACGATTCCTACCTTATTGGATATGCGTCCCAGGTTATTAAGTTACTTGTGGTATTTCTGTGGGGCTGGAGACAGTGAGGACACAGCTGATTAGAGCTAGTAACTAACCTTGACAGTTAAAGACAATTCAGTTGTTGCATTTCATGATTCAAGAAAAAATATCCCTTGACAGCTGGATATTTAGATTGTTGCTGCCTCTTTGTGTTGATGTCTGTAAAGATTCTTTTCATTGGTTCTGAGTCATGTAACTGATTGTTACTGTTTATAATTGCTTCATTATCCGTGATTATCAAGAAGAACTATATTTTGTAAATTTTATCTAAATCAAGAATATTTTGGTCTTCATTTTCAAGTACCTATGGACATTCACATCTTTAGCATATTACAGAGGAAAAACCTGAATTTTTGTTTTTAAGTACTATTTTTATTTCTTTTACAAAAAGTATTCCTTTTTTTTTCTTTTTTTTGGTACTGGGGATTGAACTCACGACCTCACATTTGCCAAGCAGGCACGTACACCGCTGAGCTAAATCCCCAGCCTCCCAAAAGGTATACTTTTAAAGACATTTAATGTATGAATTGAAATTTCACTATTGATAGGTAAAATAATTAACTGAATTTTAATTAATATTATATTATGGTCACTGAAATCATAATCGGTAGGAGAGACATTTATGTAATTCATGAACAGCCCTCGCGCCACTCTAGAAGCAAGCGCAACTCTACACGGGTGTGTGGTGCGTGGTGCGCGTGCTGGGGTGCAGTCCCGCCTGGAAGCTGGCAGAGCCCTGGGGTCGGGACGGGGCCTGGAGAGTGGGCAGGCGCCGGCTCAGGCCCGAGCCGCCCGCCTCAGGCGTGCCTGGCAGCGGGGCAGCCCGCTGGGGAGCGGAGGGCGCTGCCCAGGCAGTCAGCGCTCTTCTGTGCTCCTGTTGTACCCGGAACAGTTTCAGCGTTGTTTTCAGAATCCAGCCTTTGCGGATCCGCCTGGACTCGTGAGACACTGCGTCACGAGGGTGACTTGTGGTCTCTCTTGCGTCTGTCCCTTGAGGGATTCAAAGCTCAGGCCCACCGTAGACTGTCTTCAGATGAAGATGCGGGAAGACTGGAGGTAAGGAAAAAGTGGAGTTTTTACTTGACTTTCAGCGCTTCGAAATTTACTGAAGACCTTCAGGGTCGGCGTTGCCCCTGGTCGTTGCGCGCTCCTTGGCCCACATGAGCTCCAGGTCGCGGCAGGGTCTCGGGATGCACCGTCCATCGTTACGGCAGAAATGATGTGTTCGGGAGACAGAGCCTCATCTGTACGGACATGAGCACTCTTTTCCCTATCGTTATTTACAGAACATGGCCTGGTAGTGTAAATAACTGAGAGCTGATTTAAAGCACACAGGAGTGTGTGGGCAGGTTCTATGCGTTTGCCTCACTGCTTTCCACGAGCGACTAGAGCAGTCATGAATTTGATATCCAATCTCTGGACGTGTTCTGGAGCCAGCTCCTCCTGAGTATGGAAGAGTAACTTCGTGTGTGTGTGTGTTCCTGTGTACACATGTATGGTGAGATTATCCATGGACTGTTAGAAGGTATTGGCTAGGGGAAAATGCATTCATTCTTGTATTTTTATTTAAAAAGTCTGTATCAGGTTTGTGTGTACAGTTTGTCATATACAAATATATCCTGAGGGAAAATACATAGACTCGCAGAAAGCCTTACTTATAGTAAAGCTTTGGTTGCAAGGTCAGGTCTCCTCAGTTGATTTATGGATTTGGTGCATTCCCTATCAAAACCCCAACAGAATTTTAATGGAAATCACAATATCAAAACCTGTTTAGAGGGCCAGGGATTTAGCTCAGTAGCATAAGTGCTTACTTAGCAAGCACAAGGTCATGAGTTTGATCCCTGGTATTAAAAAAAAAAAAAAAGACTAAACAAAATTTATGGTTTAAAGAAACATGTGGAAAAAAAAAAACCGGTTTGGAAAAGCAAGGAGTTTTGAACAGCCCACTTCATCTCAAAGAGGAGCAAAACGTTAGTGTGTGATATAAAGACTTGTAAAACCACTGTAAACTACGGGGAGTGTAGTGTACTGCAGGGAAACACAAAAATCAGCGGGACAAAAACTCCCACTTATGTGTCAGTTAACTGACCGAGGTACCAGGACATGTCCATGACAAAAGAAACTTTTCTCAACAGATTTGTTGGGACAAGTGGATAAATGTAGGAACCAGCTTTTCAGAAAGACACATGAATGGCCAGTCATGAATAAAAGTACACATCATTTATAATCAGTGTCAGGCAAATAAACCACAGTGGGATTCACTTCCAGAGGCACAACTAGAACTCTGTGTGTTGCGGTAAAACCTGTAAGATTCTGGAAGTGGTTCTTTCAAACTTAAACGTGAATCTTCCCTGTGACCCACAAGTGATACTTGTAGGATTTTCCCAGGAGAAATAAAAGATATGTGTACAGGTAGACATCCTGTAGGGTCAAGATGACTTTACAAAGAGTGATTGAAAAATCAGGTGACTGTTCACCATATTTAAAAAGTTTTTTGTAGTGAAAGATAAATTGCCATTAATCCCTCTCACTCCCCGTCCCTTAAACACACTTCTCTCATCATTTTTAACCCTTTGAAGCAGTTCTAGAGCTCTCTTTTCCTATTTTTATAAAGTGGGCTAAAAGTGACAGTGAATGTTGCCGAGTCCCAGGCACTGGAAAGGCAGGTGCATTGCAAAAGCATGAGTGTGTCTTTGGCTGTCTGATTGACTGG